TGTTTGGCTTTAAACAGAAGAAGCTTGTCTCCTTTTTCCTTTTCCATGCTGCAGAATTCCCAGTCAGGATCTTGACCTGTGGAGGAAAATCACAGGAAATCACAGGAAGCACAGCGGACCAATCAGGGCTCAGGATTCAGCAGCACTGCAGGACGAACCAATAAGGATCCAGTTCAGTCATTCTGACTTTCTGTTCAGACTAGATGGAACCAAACTTATAACTGTTTACATCTATTAATAATCTCTACATTAGTCAATATAAACAAATATTTGAAGAGTAAATTATGTTAATAAAAAAAAATCAATCAAGCAAATATTGCTAAAATGTTTTCATCTTTTTTTGGCATTTTTTAGATTTTAAAAGTCTGTCAGCATCTTTTTTTGGTGTTTTATTTTTTATTGTCGGGTCTCAGTATTCTGAGATAATTGGGAACCAGTAAATAAATGAATCTAAAAATGAGAAATGTTTTGGTCTTTGTTTTGTTTAGTTTTCTTTGAGTTTTCAGTTTCATGTTGATTCATGTTTGTCCTTGTTTTCTAGTTTTATTGGTTTATATTTGTTGTGTTTTTGGATGTATTTTAGTTCTTAAGCTTCTCTCTGTTGCCCTCTAGTGTTGGTCTCATTTTCCCTCGCTCCTTTCTAGACTCCTCTGTTCACATCTGCTCCCAATCAGCTCATTAGTCCTCCCTTTGCTCAGTTGACCATAAATACTCTCCCTCCACAGTTCCTCTGTGCTGATTCCTCATCTCCTCGTCTTTTCTGGCTCCTTGTCCTTGTTTTCTCCTGATGTCTCCTTGGTTCTGGTTGGTTTTATATTTTAACTTGGATTTTTTGGATTCCTGCCTCTGGTAGCTGTGTTCATTAATTAAAGACCTCACTCACCTCTGTCTCTGCATTTGGTCCCCAAACCTCACCAACAACTGAGAAATATACATAAAAAAATATAGATAAATAAAATAAAAAAAACTCTTTCTTTTATCTTTTAGGTTCAGTTATGTATTGTTTTCATTTTTCCTTTTATTTATACATTTATTGATATCCAGTTTGACTTATTTATTTATTTCTACATTAATTTTCTGCATTTCTTTACGTCTTCCCATACTTTTATCAGTATTTCTACATTTCCAGAATTATTTATTTGTACCTCTGCGTATTGGGGGGATTGACTGACTGGGAGAATCTATCTAGCTTAGAATATCTAGCTTATTTTCCTGTAATTGATCTGCTCTTTGGAATAATGGATCTCTGATTGACACATTTCTTCCTTTTGGTTTTTCTCAGTAAAATGCGTCTCTGGAGCTGAATCCTGTTTTTCCTGGATTACCCCCCCCCCTGGTGGAGGTGCAGCATCTGGGCTAATCCTGCTCTGCTGCTGGAGTTGAACCCAAAGGCTCCAGGTTGGTTATTTTCAGGTGAGGCAGAGTCTCTGCAGGATGCAACATGATGCCTGCAGCCTGCAGAGCTTCTCCTCACGTTGCATTAGACAAAAGAAAAGCAGAGTCAGCATCTAAACTCCAGAGAGCAGAACAGTCAGAGCAGCCAAGGGTTAAATACAATCCAGGCAGCAAACGGCTGCTGATCCACCAGCCTGCAGGTGGATCTATCTCTGGAAATCAGACCATCAAGGAATCGGCTTCAATAATCTCTCGTGTTTCAGCTTGTCTATGATCCGACTCCAAATGCCTTATTTTGCTGTTTGTTTGTGTTTTGACTGGATCAGGTCTGTATATGGGGGGGGAACTGAGGCCGGGCCGTAACCAACGCGCTTCACCCGTCATCATGAAACTTCCCAGCTTTGCTGCTAACCAATGGGTGATGGCGGCGGCTCGCTACTGAGCTGAAGCACCCAGCAGACCGCTTTAGGGTTTCCTTTTTGGAATATTTGGCATTGGTGGCCCAGAAACGTAAGGCTTTTGATGAGGTGAAAGACTGTCTAAAGAGGTAGACTATGCCCTTCTTTATCCCGCCATAATGAAGCTGTCTGTCAACGGAGAACACACAGGAGGCAGACGCGACTTACATGGAAACCTTACCCTAAATATCTGTAATCCATGGAGATATTTTTAGCCTTATGGAGCGCTAGGAGTACCGGTCCAAATCAGCTGTCTACAGCTATGCTTGTTTTTTCTTTCCTGCAACGTAAACCAACCATGTTTTATTTGCCGCATGCTTGATGGGCCGTAGCGTGTTTTTAACATGTGCTAATAGCTGTTAAATGTTTTGTTTCTGCTTATTCAGCTCCTACTCAGTGTGGTGGATCACATGATGCTTTGTTTGGCAGATGGACAATGACGCTTAAGCAGAGAGGAATAATTACATGTATAAGGAAAGATGATATAGATGTTGCTAGGTTACAAGAGATGCATCTTGATGACGCATGTAGAGTTACATAGGGCCATTTGGCCAAGAATTCCTCTCATCATTTCCATGAAGAAGCAGTAGCTTTGTTTAGAAAGAATCTACTTGTTATAGTTTCTGACCGTGTTAAAGACCTCAATGGTGGCTATGTGAAAATCAAAGGAACTTTGCTTGGTCAGAATATTGTTAAGATGAATGTGTTCTTTTCTCTTTCCCACTCAGTTACCTTCCTAAACTGGATGGATGGATGATGGATGATGGAAGATGGATGGATGGATGGTTGGATGATGGATGGATGGATGGATGGATGG